AGAATTATATAGAAAAATTCGCTATTTAAAATACACTCTCTCTTAGCGAAATTGTTAAGAAATTTTAAATAAACTAGCCGTAGTGGTCTACTCGGAAAAATAAAATTTTTTTGCAATTAATAATTAATACCCAAGCATAAAATTTTACTTTTTTCTTACTAAAAAATTTCTAAAAATTAATAAAAAGCAATGTTTATTGTGATTTAATCATAAAATTGATTAAATAATTAATAAAATAAAACAACATGTCAATAATAGGGGCTTTTACCTTAGTAGGAGTTAATATTTTTGTATAGTAAGTAGTACAATTAATTTTTCTCCGTGCAGATATTTAATTTGGAAAAAAACTTTATTAGACTTATTTGTAGAAAATTTAATTTTCTAAAAATTTTGTCTCGTATCATTTTTTAATATTTTTAATATTTTAACCAGAAAATTACGTTTGTCAAATTTTTGTTGAAAAGATTTTTAAAGCGAAAAAATAATTAAGAGAAAAAAAAACGTCAAGTTCAATCGACGTAAGTAATTTAAAATTTTTGTTCGCAAAAAAAGTAAAGATTTAATTTGATCGAAATAAATAACTAGTGCGTATACATATATAAGTGCATATGCCGGGCAACGTGAATGCTCTTCGCACTTGGAATGCGGTCCAGTGTAATGTAATGTAAGAGAGAAAGGCCTCGTACTCAGTATCGTAGTAGTTGTAGTAGTTGTAGTAGTACTAGTAGTTGTAGTATATTTATATATATATATTATATATAGTAGAGTGTAGTAGGTAGGCAAGTCGTGAGTACGAGGATCGAGAAAAGGAGATAGGGACACCGGTGAATGAGGAAAGGAACAAGGATGGACCCGTATTGCAGGACTCGCTGGATAGAATGAGAAGATACTCGAGCTGAGATACAAGAGGACTAAAAGAGCAACGGCATTACATAGCGTATACGTAGTCAGCATATCAGAGACGGCAGCAGCCGTAAACGGCAACAATTGCTGCGGGCGTTGCCACTCCAAAGGCGAGTGCCTAATGCCAGATGTCAGACAGTGGTTAGAATCATTACGGTCATCACTTTGTACCCCCTTCCCCTTTTTTGATCCTAGGGAATCCACAAGTACCGAGTACCCAAGTACACTCTGTATACTCGGGACTCGGAAACTTAAACATGTGCCTAAGCCAATCGATCCTCGAACAAAAAATCCAACCTTTAGCGGGTAATTTCGATAAATCGACTCCAATGTGCAAACAATTGGTTGTAATACCTACGATTTATATGCGTGCTGTTATTTTCTTAAACAGTTAGTTTTTAGAATTTTTTTCTCTGGAGCTTTTTTGTAGAAAATTTAATTCTCTAAAAATTTTGTCTTATGAATTTTTTTTATCAAAGGTTTGAAATTTTGTGGAAAATTAAATCTTGAATTTTTTTAGAGAAATCGTTGTAAAGTTTTTAAGATTAAACATTAGAAACACTTGAAAATAATCTAGTAAATTTTTTTAGTTGAAGAAAAAAATTGAGTACGAAAAGTGATAGGTATTATGATAAGGACCTTTTTTTTAGAAATTTTAATTTTCTAAAAAAAAAAAGGTTTTTTTTTTATTTCTGATAGTTTAGTCGGAAATTTTGAGTCTAGACAATTATTCAATTTATTAAATTTTAATAAATATTTTTTAACATTCAATAAATATTTATTAACGGTTAATAAATATTTTGTTGAGTAAATTTGTTTCGCTTGCAATGTCATATATGATATGAAGATTGTTTATAAACAAAAATCATCTTTATAAATTATTTGCATTAATTATATTACATTGTAATAACGTTTATTGTAAAATACCAAATTCTATCATAGCTCATAAGCAGCGCCTCCTACTTCAGCTGAGAAAAAAATTTTCTCACGTTGAGAAAATTTTTCTCGAGAATATTTGATACCCCTTTTATATTATTTTAGCGTGCAATTATATATATTGAATTAAAAAAAATGATGAAATATTATTTGATCTTCCCATTTGACATGTTAATCAATAAAAATATTAATGAAAATTTACTTCTATCTTTATATTTAATTTTTTGGAGCAAGAGATAATTTTTCTCAAGACAAGAAAATTTACTTCTATCAAGAACTAAATTTTTTGGAGCTCGAGGCTGAATTTTCTCAAAACAACAAGATTTTCTTGACTTAAATAAATTTTCTTGGATTAAGATACATATTTCTTAAAGCAAGAGAATTAATTTTTAGAATAAGTGAAATTTCTTGTAAAAAAAAAATTTTTTTTCGCTCAAGAAAATAATTAGGAAGAAAAATATTTTCTTGCTTCAAGTGAACCTTTTTTCTTGAAGCCGAGAGAATAAGTATATTTAATAAAATACGCTTGCAATTTAATTTAAAATTAAAATTCTGACTAAATGATACGAGACACGGAAAAATTGATACAGTTAATTAAACTTCCTACAAAAAAAATATTTTATGATTTTTTTGTAAATTACATCTAAGCAAAAAATCAAAAAAACATCAAAATTAATGTCAGTAGTGAAACTTTAAGGAAATTTATCGCTTAGAACATTTGAATGCCCTATTGCAAATGATGCCAATCCGCCAATCGTGATTAGGTAATATAAATAATTCGCTTTTGCGAAAAGAAACTCAAGATATAAGTGATAAGTCTTTGTTAGAATGTTAAAATGTTTTCTCGCAAGTTTTCTAATAGACCAACAATTAGACAGCTAGGTTAGCAAATCTGGCGATAGAATGAATCCTTTCGATCGTTGGTACTTGCGAGGCAAAAAAGCGTCCGGTCCTAGGGGGATAAAGGAAGAGATTGGAGTTTAGAGGCTTCCATACCCCTGAATAAAGAAAAAAAAAATAGGGATTGAGGATGAAAGGAGATGAATAAAAATAATTTAAAAAGTTTAAAAATAAAAATTGTAAAAAGTGGACTTGCTCACTGATCTGCCGATGTGGTTGCGGTTGTGACAGAACGGCTGTCATTCATAACCTGCGTATCGGCGTATCCACGAATCGCGATCAGCAAACGTGTGAAAGAGGGAGATAAAATATTTATAAATGTAGAGCCAGTGATGCAGAATAATTTTTTTTATCACGGTTTAGATTTTGTCAACCCGAGCCCCAGACGGAAATTGGTTCTGTAAATTACAACATTTTTCAATCTACATTTCATCCAGGACCTCACTGATGCAACATCCTCAACACATTAATACATTTATGTGTGTTATATTTATATCCATCCACATTCACACATATTAATATATATAATATGAGTTTACGGATCGTTAATGGCCCGGTTGCCACGATATTTTATTGAGTAACGTTCTTCGGCAACTCACCATTCAGCATAGTACAATGCTGATTTATAATTGTTGTCCACGCGGCTGTAATTATTATAATTACAGATTTTTCATCCGTCCATTTGCCTTTATATATTTAACATTTTTTTTATCTCTCATCTCTGTTGCTCCGGCGATTTTAGGTCGCGGTTTAACAGTCCATTCGACGGCCCGTTCCCGGCTCAAAAACTAAAAACTCCACCCCTTCGTTCGCCTTCCTTCGTTTCTACATCAACTTTCAAACGAGTTCTCGAGAACGTTTCTTCTCATAGACGCACAGGATAGCTTTGAAAAAATTGTTACAAAAAAAAAAACTAGATTTTGAGTTCTATCAATTACATGCTTAAGGGCTAAATTTAGTTTTCTGATTCAGAATTTTATTTTTGGCTTAACTATCGAAGATATCAAAACATTATAAGAGTCTGATTTTTTATAAGAAAGTATTGAGTTTTTTTTTAAATATAATAATTGACAAGATATTTAAAATTTAGCATTCATAATGAGAATGAGTTTTCAAAAATTCTACACTGATAGGATTTATTAACTATTAATAATTTAATTTATTTAAAGACAATTATTTAATTTATTAAATTTTAATAAATATTTTTAACATTCAATAAATATTTATTTGGGAGAAAAGGACATTTATTAATAGTTAATAAATATTTATTAACAGTTAATAAATATTTATTAAATCCTGTGATGTTAAAAAATCCTTTTATCAGTGTAAGAAATTTTTTCTCTAAACTCAATATTTCCGAAGATATTTAAAATTTCTAAACTCAAAATTAAATTTCCGTCCAAGCCATCAAAAATAAAAAAAAAAAAATTTTTTTTAGAAAGTTAAAATTCTAAAAAAAAATTTCTTATCATAATATCACTTTTCGTACTCAATTTTTATCATTATCAATATTCGTTATTTTTCTCAACCAAAAAAAATTTACTAGATTATTTTCAAGTGTTTCTAATATTTAATCTTAAAAACTTAACAACGATTTCTCTAAACAAATTCAAGATTTAATTCTCTCAAAAATTTCAAACTGATAAAAAAAATTCCATATTTTTTTTATGATCACTTTAAAAAGAAATCCTCACCATAAAATACTTAAAAATGTCTACCTAAAAGATAACAAAACTCGATAGTAAACTTAAAAACAGCAAATAGTCTCCCCAAAATTAAGACTACAACGTCCCTAAAATTAAAATTAAATCCTTTTCTAAAATCCTTTCCATCTTATAATTTATCTCCAAAATTCCTCGCTTATCTCCTCAGTAAACAAACTCATCAAACTCACCTTAATAAAGCAGTGTCCGACAGGCAAATCCTCAGGTACACTAGTATTGTAAAGTGGTTTTTCAAAAATAGGCTCATTGTCATTAAGATCATGAACAGTAACCCTAACAATAGCAGTCCCGGTCAAAGAAGGCCTACCAGAATCGGTAGCAACAACAACGAGATTAGGAGCAGGATCAGTTTCACAATCCACATGTGTCACTGTACTGATCAGCCCAGTGTCCTTATCAATAGAAAACCAGGTGGTGTTCTTCAACGAATACTTAATAACCGAATTGACACCTTCATCGACATCCGTGGCCTTAACTTTAATCACAGCAGTCCCGGGTTCGGAAGCTTCCAACAAATGAGCTTCATAGAGTTCCTGTTCAAAAGCAGGCGCGTTGTCATTAACATCCGTCACCATGAGCCTGAAAGTTCTGACAGCCCTAAGAGGAGGCGTTCCAGCATCAGTAGCCTCCACAGCCAAATCATAAACCGGCTGTTCTTCGCGGTCTAGCGGACGTTCGACCACCACCAGGTATCTAATATTGTCACGTGTCGTTAAACCAAAGTGGTTCTTTCCCCCGACTAAAAACACTTTGGCATCGGAATACTCAGTCCTCGAATCTGGATCACTTACCGAAATCCGAGCGACAAATTCCCCTGGTTGGGCACTTTCACTTATTTTGGGTGTCGCGTCGTCCGAGAGGAATATCACCGTTATCGTCGGCTGGTTGTCATTCACATCAGTCACGTAAACCGACAAAAAGGCGCTTGCTTCAAGCGGCTGAGCGCCCAAATCTCGGGCCACTATCACCAATTCATGCCGTTCTTTGGATTCAAAATCCAGAGCCTTGTTAACGAAGACCATACCAGAAGAGCTGTCAATCCTGAACATCTCCTCGCGGTCGCTCTGCCTGCGATTAATCGAGTACTCGATCATCCCGTTGCTTCCAATGTCCAAATCAGTGGCGTTAACTTGCAACACAGGAGTTCCTACGGTAGCATTTTCAGGAACACTGGCAGTGTACCTGGTCTGGTTGAAGATCGGCGGGTTGTCATTGACATCCTGGACGATAACGTTGACCTTCAACCTGGACCTCAGCGGCGGCGAACCGCCATCCAAAGCTTCAATTATCAACTGATAAGAAGATCTGGCTTCCCGGTCCAAATTTCCAGAATTCTGCAGATCCAAATACAAAACTCCGTCCCTTCCTCGGTGTTGGGACAATCTGAAGACATCTCCAAAGTTCCCGCTGACGATTTCATACCTCTGAGTGGAGTACTGCCCTAAATCTGGGTCCTTAGCGGGGGGCAAGGCCCGCTTTGCGTCCCGCGGAGAATTCTCAGGAAATTCGATGTCTACATGATCAACGGGAAAAGTTGGTGCGTTGTCATTTTCATCCAGAACTTTGATCACCACACGGATGTTCCCTCGCTGTGGCAACGCTACAAAGCTGTACGACGGATTAGTTTCCCGGTCCAGCGGCTGCCGGGTCTTTATTTCCCCGGTTGCTGAATCTACGGTCAAGTCACTGATAACCGGGGAACCTGCTACCGGAACAATGAGATACGGCGGGCCTTCAAGGTCGATGAAACCAACTCTACTACCTGGTGGGGCATTCTCAGATACTTCAAGGTGTCGTACTTGCTCGGTATTTACACCGCCTGGGGTTAATAACGTGATCAGGATGCTGAGAAGCAGTAGCTGGATCATTCGTGATGATTGTAACCTGACTACACCTCGAAATCCACCTCCACCGTCTACCATTATCATCGTCCCCTCCTCCATCTCTCCTCTTCTACTTTTATTATCTTTGATGTTTCATTACTGTTTACTTCCGAATGCTTATTAACACGTGGAGGTGCTGTTACTTTTGTCTTCTTAGCTATTGTCAAATGATTATCACAATATCTATTTTTGCCGTTTATACTTTCACCATTTTTTTTCACTCTGATATAAATAACACAAATAACTTATTTATTAATTAATAAACACTCACATTGATCACTAATCACAACACAGATCCACAAATTGACGATTGATTGGAAAATTGTAGCATTTCCTTGCTAACTACAACCAATAGGCGAATGATAGTTAAAATAGCTTAAGGGCGGGAAAATTCAAACTTAAAATTGCAAAACTTGTTGGATTATAACCTTGGAGGTATATCTTAGGTATGAGATGATATTCAAGGTACCGTATGCACACAAGGTAAGAAGAACAAGACGAACGAACCTCGAAGAACGTGTGTGTCGTGTGTTCTCCTTTATTCACTGGTTCTATCTCTTTTCCTCTTTCTGTCCAAAGGACAGCTTTCTGTCGTTTAATAGCAGAAACACATGGGCTTCATTTCCCAAAAATCATCAACAAATCCCGTTTTTGATTCAACCTCAAAAGTAATTTGCAATAACTCAACAATTTACAGACTCACTTAACGCAGAGGTCACTCACACAAATTTCTTTGTTTATGTAAAAAAGCCTGCTCCAATCCAACAACTGGTAGTCTTAACTTGTTAGGAACTTTTTTGGAATAACAGTTCGGATAGGCGGTAAATAATCGCTTAGCCCGATAAATAAACAAAATATTTGGGATGTAATCGATGGTATAGTCGCGGCAAAGCCTATCGTGAGTACTACGCGGCTGGAGGTTAGGCATGCACTGACATGGCGGCACCTGCAGACCCAATCGGGCCCCTATTCCCCACCACTTCCCACTACCTGGCTAACAGCGGCCATCTTTTAGTGGGGGTACAGGGCCTGTTTTATGGTACGCTCACTGTTGCTGCTGCTGCTGCTGCTGCAGTCCACGCTTGAGTTTTAAACTATACCAAAGTAAAGCTTAAGCTAGTACTTGTACTGGTGTAGCGCACCTATACAAAACCTTTCCTTTTACCTCGATTGAATTGAGACTCTGGATCTTCTCTCTTGCTCTTTCACCTGATCCAGGCCCACGTTATGGAGACAAGATGACAATACTTTTATTTACTATTTTTATAGAGTCAGGTTCCAACTTTTGTTGCTAAACCCTATCCCGGAATTTGTGAGACAATTAGACGCATGATTGACTTTGGCGACACCCCAGTTAGCCTTGGGGCCTCAGATTACTCGGATAATATCGCGTTTCATGAAGAATTGGCTTGTTCAAGTTGGGACAAACCCTAGAGCTGGGATTGATAGGCTCTAATAGAAGTCCCAATTTTATTCGACGTTAGTTTCGGACACTTTGCTGGAATTTTGTCACAAGGTGGTCTATCTTATCCGGAATAGAGATTTAATTGATTCATGAGAAGATTGTTCGGAGGAATTGGCGATCTTGGATTGAAATTTTTGTAATTGTCTAAACTAATTGATTTTGAGCTATTTTAGGTAACCCCGTGCTCTTTTTACACAAAATTTTTAGTTTGTATGTGCGAAAAAAAAATTTACTTTAATCAAAAAATAATTAAAACTTCATTTTCTTCATTTAAATAGGGAAATTCTTAAACTAAGAAATTGTTCTTGATTTAAGTGAATTTTACTTGGTTTAAAAATTGTTAATTTTGATTCAAGACAATTAAAATCTTCAAAATTATATTTTTGGTTCAAGAATTTTTCTCTTAATTAAAGTTAATTTTTTTTCAATGTAGATTTTCATGATTTAATGAAAAAATTACGGAAATTCCGGATTTTATAATTCAAATTTTCATAATTGCGTAATTAAAAAATAATTTGACAATTTTGGATAACGTAGTGACGAATTTTCGGTAATTATGCAGAAGTAAGGCTCCACCTATTTTAGAAAAAATTGAAATGAAATAAAAAATCGAAAAATTGATCTTTTTGAATATTTTTTTTCAAATTGTTCTTCCTCACCGTGGATTTATGATAAAAATAATAAAAAGTATGAAAATATTTGGATGTTTTTTTTTCATTTGAAAGTTCAAAAATTATGAAATTATGATATTCTAAATTTTTAGTTCTAATTTATTCTATTTTTATCGTTCTTGAAGAAAAAAAATATTTCAATAACCGGAAGAAATTGCATCGTCACCATTTCATTGAAAAAAAACCTAAAATCGTAAATTTTGAACTTTCAAACTTAGAAAAAACATCAATAAATTCAATTTTCATATTTTTTATAATTTGTATCATAAATCTGCCGTGAAGAAAAACAATTTGAGATAAAAAATATTAAAAAAGATTAATTTTTCAATTTTTTACACTCAAAAAAAGATGGAGCCCCACTTCTGCATAATTACCTAATTTTCTTCTCAAAAGCATACACAGAAAAAAAAATTTACTTCAATCAAGTGACTAATTTTGAAGAACTCCATCTTTTTTATTTAAGTAAAAAATTTTTTGAATTGAAAAATTTTTTTTAGTTTAAGTAAATTTCACTTGATTTAAAAATTTTCGTCTTGATTCAATACAATGAAACTTTTCAAATTAATTTTCTTGGTTCAAAAATTATTCGCTTGATTTAAGTTAATTTTTTTTTCTGTGTAAATATTGTCTCTTTAGACTAGACTATCATAAATATCCCATAAAATGAAGAATTTTTGTGAATAAATAAAAAACTTATAAAAATTTAAAATATCTTCGGATTTTTAGATTAAATTTATCTCTTTGTTTTATTGACAAATAAAATTCAAACGTTTCAGTTAACTTACCGCTATTCAAAAATTGATAAATATTGTCTTTTGAGTCTTTACACAGAAAAAAAAATTAATTTGAATCAAGAGAAAAATTTTTGAATTAAATAAAATTTTATTAAACCAAGAAAAATTTCTTAGTCTAATAATTTTTCTTCTCAATTCAAGAAGAAATTCTTCAAAATTTCTAACGAAACGTTGCAAATTGAAATAAATAAAAAGAAAAACATAAATTATTTGGTCTACTATATCCTGATTTGATCCTTTGAAATTCTTCAAAATTATTTACTTAATTCAATTTTTTTTCCTGTGCAGCTATCACAAATAACCAAAAAAATTGGAAATTTCTATGATTGCTTACAAAAAATTTAAAATATCTTCTGATTGACCAATTGAACTGCCTTATCAATGTTAATTTATATTTACCAAATAATTTCATGTTAAAAAATCATTGATTAAAAATTAAGCTTCTCAAATTTTAACAAACCCTTCTATCGTTGCATAAAAACACCATGTTTAATTATCCAAACCGAAGACTGTCACAAATGTAACTAACTTAAAAAATAGTAAGGTATCATTAGTGTTGGCACTTCCTTACTTCGTTGAGTGATACAACGGAATAAAAGGTACAGGATAAAAATGAAAAAAAATAATAAGAACAAAGACGTGAAGATTTATCGTACGATCTATTCTATTGTCTAACTATACAGAGAACAAGCTGACTTGGGCTTTAATGTCGGTTAAAGAAATGATCGTCATGTACACATTTAACCCTGTTCTACGAAGGGATACCACTTCACCAATGGAATAAAACAAAGAATAATAATAACAACAATAATAATAACAATAACAGCAATCTCAGCCCAAGAGCCAAGACTTGAGACCCTCGATTCTCGGCTGGAAGGGAAAGGAATAAGAATTAAGCCGGGTATGCGTAAAAGTGAGCACAATGAGAGGAAAAACCGCGAGAGCCAATTCGCTGTCCGATGGCTTTCGCAGAAAAGTCTACAATGCTAAACACAAATGGAGTTTCGGGATGTGTAGGTGGTCTAGCTCGGTCTCTCTTTTTGAATTTACCAGCAATAATTTCGGGCCGTTATTTAATGACCAGCGCCAGGGAAGAGCAACTAAAAATGAGATTAACCAAACTATCAACATCAACATCAACCTCTTCTTCACTTCTATCCTCTTCCTTCATTCTTTATTCTTTTCTGGTTTGGTCATTATTATCATCATCATCCTGGTCATCATTTTATATTTTCGGGTTCCTGTAATTTACGCGCCTACCGAAAATTGCCATCAACGCTGACGCTGATAATTCCCGGAATAATAAAATACAATTATCCTTTTTTATTATCAATCATGAGTCTTCACCACATAATACCTAATGCAACAATAAAACAATTTACTCAATTTAAAAAAATTTTATCAATTTATTCTATTCATTTTTCATAAAAATATTTTCCAAAATTCAATTTCATCGCAAAATATTAAAATATTTAAATTTTGAATGTTTTGAGAGCTTCCGAAAAAAAATTGACTTGATAAAATATTTTATTGACTTTTGAAGTATGAAAATAATAGTATATTGAAAAAATAACTCTTAAAAATTCCACAATTTACTATTTAAGTGATAAATGTTGAGAATGTTGTCTAATAAAGTTTTTATTAAGTTAGTTCCTGGTTTCACCGCTAGGTGGTCTATGGCTCTCGCTTCCAGAAAAATCTTACCAGGGTATATATTACAACGCTGTAAAAAGTGACAATTTTTTTTTTTCCTTTAAGTATAATATCAAATTATGTTACTTTTTTATGTTTTGAGAGATTTTGACAACAATTAGCTTGATAAAAAAACTGTTTGTCATTTAAAGTATTAGAACAGTTGATAATATATTAAAAAAAAATATTTCTTATATATTTCTCCTCTGAATTTTTATATAAAACTCATAATTTACTATTAAGATAAGAAATATTTCAAATTTAATGTCAAATAAGATTTTTTTTAAGTTAGTTCCCGGTTTCACCGCTAGGTGGCCTGTGATTCTCGCTTCCAGAAAAATCTTACCAGTTTATTTATAACGGCGCCGCAAAAAACTGACTATTATTTTTTGACTATGAAAATATGTTACTTTTTTTATGTTTTAAGAGCTTTTGACA